CTCCTATTCCGGTGCTGTGCGGTGTCTCCCTGCCTCAGTCAAAGTTGGTTTCTGGAGGTTAACAGCTGACGGAAAAGAGAGCATAACCAAGCGGCAGGATGGCCATAGTGCTTCGGATCGCGTGGCCGCTGACGCTGGATCATCACCTGAGGTGGGCGATTCGGGGTTTTGCATGCTTTGGGGTTTGTTGGTGTAGGGATTCCGGGCTTGGTTGGACTTGGGGTCTGATTTCTGTTGGACTTGGGGTTTGATTGCGGGGTTGTCTCATATTTATGGTACCGCGCTCCCTCCAGTCGGCACGACGAATACCGTGACCACGAGTAATATGCATCGACGTGGTCTGAGTCACAGAAGCGATGCAACTATGAGACAGCTATGAACATGAAAGTGCTACGGCTATATATCAACCACGAAAACCAGAAGTAGCAATGGCAATGAGCTGAGTAGCAAGCGTGGAGGACATGTGTGAGAGGAACAAGAGGACGCAACATGTCCGAATCGAAATCAAGACCAAAATTGCTTATGAGAAGGAACATGGTACCGTCACTCTGGATACTGGCAGCAACAGTGAGCCAGAAAAGTCAATACCAAGGAAAGCCAGCACAACGCAGAACCATGGTAGTCATACAGTAACTGAAATGTAAGTGAGAAGGCAGAAGCAGTATCAACACCACAGCCACAAATCATAAATGAGAAGCCTTAAGTACAACATTAGCAGTAAGATATGGAAATAATGTTGCCACGAAGCAGAACAGCAGCAATAGCATGTAACTAGCAGATTACAGGGCTAGCGTCACCACTCTGGGACTGAGCTGTGCAAACCGGCTGCGCCGAAGAAGGCTCCCGTTCGCGTTGGTGTGGTTGAGGAAGGACGTACTGAAGAGCTTGATGACTCAATTGATTCGTCAGGCTACTAGCGCGGACACCTCTGCTATTGCTGATGCTTACGGGTACGCAGCGCGTAGGCGGGACGGCAGTACGTCAAGCCATGATATTGCGGAGATAGTGCGAGCACACCTCATGGGCGCGTACCAGCTGGTGTCTTTCTTGACCGCCGTTGAAACACTCTTGCTGTTCGTCCTCAAAGTCACCATCCCTGCGCCTCCAGCACATGGATCCGCCCTTCGAAGCAGCCTGCCCTGTCAGCTTCTCACTTACCGTGGGTTGGCTTCTCTTGGACTTTTGGACTTTAGTGTGCACAGCTGCGAAGGAACCAGTGGAAGGGGGCTGTCCGTTGTTCGACGGGACGAGAACAGCGGCCGGAGTCTTGTCTTCGGCTCCGCCCTTCGCTTGGGCACGTTGGGGCGACGGTCCCGTCTTACTCCTGGCGCAGCTGCTGAGCCCGACGGTAGGAGGGGTAGCTGGAGCTGAACGGCTGTCGACTCAGTCCGCATGCCGCAGTTCCTGTTTTCGATCTTGCGAAGCTCATCACGCCTGTTTCACCGTTTTGTTGGTTTGTTGGTTTTTTATGGGGACCGAGAGCTGCTGCTGCAGTCGACGAGGCCCGCACACGCAAAAAACTTTCAAACCCACAAAGCCTAAAATCCAAACCCTAAACCTTCAAAACCAAAGACCCTAAAACCCCAAATCCCTAATCCTCAAACCCGAAGACCCTAAACTCTCAAGCCAAAAGACCCTAAACGCCAAAATCCTTACCGACCCTGCTCAGCCCGTCGACAGCGACTCCGAGCTGAGCCCCCAACTTGCGGCCGAGGCATCTCACAGATTCACGAGGGCATCTATAGGATCAGATAATGGGTTTAGGTCTGAGGGTTTACATTCAGGGTTTAAGGAGCAGATTAGGGTTTAGGAGCTTAGGGATTCGATTAGGGATTGGATTAGGGCTTCGGGTTTAGGGATGGATTAGATTAGGGTTTTGGTTTTAGAGATGTAGTTGTCAGGGTTTACATACAGGGCGTCAGCAGTAGGCTTCCGGGAGGAATAGGATTCAGGAAATCTCCAAATTCTGAGTGTTGAGTTCAGACGACGCAAAGAAGGGCACGGAGAGAACGAGGCGAAATCGTCGTTCGCGAACAAGCACATGAGGTGCCGGGGCCAGATGATTGCGAAGCAGATGTTACCGAATCGCTGCCTGGAGAGGCGGAGGACATGGGTTTAGGGATTCTGCAGTAACTCGCTTAGACTTCAATTGATTCAACTGCGCGGCTTTTAGGCCGCAGGGTTTCTGTCTCGCATTCTCCATCTGTCTGTCTGTCCGTCGTGTTTCAGGCCTGTTGACTCCAAATTTGGCTTTTGGGGTTTGCTTTCGGGCTTTGGCCGTCTTTACAAAGATAGATCCTCCACCGCACTGGTTCCGAAATTCAGGTCTCGTAACTTCTTGAGCTGGGAGCATAGCATCATGTAAGATAGCGGGTGTATACGCACATATTATATGCACACAAGTACATAGGTTGTTGCTCTCCCTGGCTCTCTCTCTCTCTCTCTCCGTCTCTCTCGCTCTGCCTCTGTCCTGTATGTACATCTACACACACACACACACAAATCAAATTAGTCGACACACCGGGATGAACAGGGCTGCTATGTTGTCCTTTTCACACCGCCCAAAAGGACGTCTCCATTGTGGATACGGTGCCGGACATCGAGGAGCAGTTCCAGCTAGCAGGCCGCGAGACAGCTCAGCAGACAGTTGCTGCATGTAAGGCTCAAAAGTGTGTCGTGAAATTTCAGAGCAGTTTGCGCTTTGCCGCCCAAATCAGAATGCTTGGGACCTTTCTTTCTGACACGTGCAAGCAACAAGCCTCCAATTGTTCGGGTGCTGCAACCAGCGGCCACACTTGCAAATAACAGCTGTGCATAAAGTAAATACTGTGTGGCAGGTATCTTGTGCCGTGTCGTCATCTATACTTGTTTCTTTCGCTGCAGCCATCAGGGATTGTCCACAAAGTCTGACAGTAAAAGGCACAAGAACTTGTGATCAGCATCATTGCTGTTTGTGCATACGGTTTTCTTTTGTTACTCGCAAGCACTGCATGACGATGATGATGTTACCTCAGGTAGTTTAACCGTGATCATGACGGTGAAGAAGCAGCACGTGATGCTAGGAATTGATGCGTCGATGATCAAGTCAAAACCACTGTGTTTGTCGCGTTGCGTCAAGGTTTCCCGTAAGCTAAACCCTAAACATCCCTAAACTCTACACCCTTAAACCTTAAAGCGATAATGAGAAGAACCGCAGTGAGCGAAGGGCGCGCTCTCCAGTGGCTGCTCTGTGCCAGCAAGGATCAGGCTCCAGTGATGGGCTGAAACCGGGGCCTTGCACAGTTAGAAGAGGATACGACGGTGTATTATACCATATTTGTAATCAGAGCCCCAGAGGGAATAGTATTGAGAGTTTCTCCTGTGTAGCAGCACCAAAGTATGCACAAGCTCCAGGCACAATGAAAGTAGATGCATGAAAATGCAAGTGTAGTATCATGTAGCACCCGTAAACGTCTGTGATACGCGATCTTTCTGGTGAATTTCGCTGCCATTGCTTGCGATTCACAACTGGCATAATGTGTCGTGCTCATGCGATCCTTGCTTTCACCTTTCTCACCATGCACTCAGGCGACCAGAAGACCGCCTTGAAGCCGAACTCTAGTCAGGCCTTCGGTTTCTTATGCCGAGCATCCGAAGGAGGTAGCCTCCAAAGGGAGCCGAGGGCCACACCCTAAACGGCGAAACCTGGATCCCTACAACTGAGACCCTTCACCGCAAGTGCCAAACTCCATGTAATGTAGGGGCCTTTATGAGCAGAATAGGGTTTTGGGGGCTCCTTATTATGACTATATGTAGTATAATATACCTCCAAACCATCTTCTAATTACTAAGGCCCCTACATTAGAGACCCTGGACCCCAAGCCCCTTTGTGTGGTTAACTGCTCGAAGTGCAAGGCGAGTGTGGCGGCGTGCTGGAGCAGCGCTCAGCGTGCTGCCAAGCGTTCGCCAAGGAGGGACGTGCTGGAGGCGGGCCAACCTGCTTTCAGGGTGTTTTGAAATGATCAAAATGTCCATTGCTGGAAGACCTTGCCCTTTAGAGGGGATTCTCGGAGGTGTCAGTCGGATTTCCACAGAAGGTGTACCTCGCCGTAAGCTGTAGAGCCGGGACGGGTCATAGCAGATGGATGAAGCCGCTACGCTTCTCCGTCCACAACGTCAGCTTGCCCAGGTTAAGACCGTCAAAACTTGCTTCGGCGGAGAATTCCCAAAATCCTTGACTCAGGCGTCAGGCACCTCGAAAGCGTAAGATGCAGGCACAAAGACACAGGAACAGGATCCGCTGAAGCTGTCTAAGAGGTCGCGATGTTAAGTGTATCATGGATACGGTCTCTCATGTAGGGCCTCTGTTGCATGATGCCATTTCGCGGCCGAGATCTGGTGGAGGCATGACTAGGAAAAAGGCATGATGCAGTAATCTGCGTTTGTCCTCCTGGAAGTGGGGGCAAATAGACATCGTACACTGGACTTGTATTTTCGTCAGGAGCTCCTCGACGAAAGCGCAGACAATGCACGATGTCACATGCAAGTCCATGGTGCTGCTTGGCTGCAAGTGTGCATGCCACAAACATACTCAGTCAGCGTGTGGAGCTATATGGGTGGTTGTCAATACTAGGGTCCTTTTTTGGATTTTTTTGATACGGCACCTAATAAGGGTACCCAAAAAAGAGGCCATAATTTTGACAACCACCTATATAGTCCCTGGCAGCCAGCGAACCTGGCATGTCTGAGTGCTCTCAGGCTCACATCCTGCCAATATCAGGACCTTAGCACTCATGACAGCTTCCCATACTAGCAGTCGCACAATCACGACTTCTGCTGCGAGTATAAACCCCAAACACCTAAACCATAAGCCAACTGTTAGAGCCCAAGCCCTACTGCCACATTTCAGGGAAAGGAGCTGACTGACAAGGCCCGACAGTGTCCCAAGCCCTCGCGTGTAAAGAGCTCTTCTCTTGAAAACCCTATTCAAGCTACAAAAGCCCCGTCCTGCTAATACAGGGATGTTCGTTGCGGTTTCAGAGGTCGGTGGCCTTGTTCCCTGCGAGGTCTTGGCTGCAAAGGCCGGGCATGTAATGTACTTGCCAGACGAGTGCAACTGACAACTTACCCAGCAAATCTTGAACCCGTAATCTGCAAGCGACCGCACATGGAATCGAGGGGGGTTATTAATAGTTAGAATAGGGTTCTGGGGCCCATAAAATAAGGAACCCCCAAAATAGTAAACGTAGTTATTGAGGCGCCTGCGTTAGGTTTAGCTCGAGGTGCTCCTTCTAGTCCGTTGATATCGCAGACGAGACCAGAGTTTTGGTTTACCGACCCTCCTTAACCCAAGTCACCCTGTATCCAAACCCCAAGCCGTAAACCCCTGATCCGTGAGTTATCGTGTAGTCGCCGAAACTGATGGAAAGGGCTCAGACGGCCAGCTGAAACACCGACGTGGTGCCTACGACGCTTGTCTCGCGGGTCATGAGTTCACGTGTTGGAGGGCTTAGGATTTGGGGTTGAGGGGCTTTATAATTTGGGGGTACTCAGCCTCTAGGCAGTCTAAGGGTGTCATGATTTGGGAAGGCGCTGAACTTGTTTAGATTCTTCTGGTTTGTTCGCTCTTCCGGCAAACGGCGCTGGGTTAGGGATTAGCGGCTTAGGGGTCAGGGGTTGGATTAGGGTCAACGTTCTAAGCCATTTACAGGTGCGTAGTTTTAAGGTGGGTAGTCTCCCATAAGCCTCCCATACCACTCCTATAAGGTAAAGGGGTCTTATGGGAGTACTATGGAAGAGGAACTACCCACCTGTAATGGGCTTCTAAACCTACAGGTTTTAGCTGTGCGGTTTCCGGAGGCAACAGCATGGCTCCGGCTCGCCCAATAACTCTGATTCTTCTAGTTTGCTTAGGGTTTAGGGTTTAGGGTTTTAGGGATTTAGGGTTTAGGGATTTAGGGTTTAGGGTTTAGGGATTTAGCTCTGCATGAAACCAAGGAACTTTGGCGCGAGCTCGTGAGATCTTGCGACACGGACAACCCCGTATGGCCCTTTGCCTCAGCAGCTGCATGATGGTAGTGGCGATGCTTCAAAGTGGCGTGCCACAGTGATGGACGTCACAATCAGGCGACTGTTGCTGTCATCAGCTGAGGTTCAAAATCCAGTTTGCACGGTGGGGTGGCTTCTTGGAGGAACTGGTGAAGCGCGCCGAGGCGACGGCATTTTTTCTGTAAGGGTTTCGACCGAAGCCGGGTTTCGACGGCACACCGCCGACGATTCCACTATAACATACCCTAGGGCTCCATAGTAGGTTACTAACCATATATTCAGTTATATAATATTCCCAAGTACCGTGACGGCGTTGGATAAGAAACGCCTGTATCCGAGGCAGGGTACCCTAGATTTCTTATTTAGAAAGCGATCATTCAGGGTCAGAAGTGATACGCGCCAGGTTTAGGGTACCCTGGATTTAGGGTTTAGGGTTTAGGGTTACCCTGGATTTCTTATTGGAGACGTATCGTGCGCCTCTGACGCCGTCCAGGGCTAAAGATGGACAAGAGCCCGGGGCGGCAATAAACCGCCTGTTAGAGGATGGCAATGTTCAGATCATTGATCCTCCACCGCCTCCGTTTCCCTTTCAGCCAATGTAGCAAACATCGGGCGAATTCCGAAACTCTCGCCGATTTGCTGTGCTGCACAACCCTCCTGGGCTCGTAAAAACCAGGAAATGAGACATCCAGCCCCTGGGTTTCTTATTTCCTGGGTTTTGGGGCGGCCCAAAAACCCAGGAAATAAGAACTCCAGCCGCTTGACTTCTTGTTTCCTTTGCTTTTTGGACGAAATCCATATCAAATCTTCGACCCTGCACGAAATGCCTTCGGGCGAATTCCGAATCTCGCACCGATTTGCTGCAGCAGTCCTAAACCCGTCAAAGCGACCGGATATTAAATCTTCACCTTTGTTGCTTGCCTTCGGGCGAATTCCGAAACTCTCGCCGATTTGCTGCAGGAATCCTAAACCCGTCCATTGGGCGATAAGTTGTAAGGCTCTAAATGCTGTACGTACTCATCTTTGTCCCCTTTAGCCTGATGCTTTAAATCCCGAAGCCTTCAGCCCAAACTTCATGGTACTGTAACGTGTTTAGGGTCCTGAGCTTCTGGTCTTGGGGGCAGCATTTAAGAAATTTGGTTTCGGGGGTAGGGGACCCTGAATTTCTTATTTCTGGTTGCTTGGTTGTGGCAGATTCTAGCACATCTTCGTCCAAATCAGGGGGCTGGATTTCTTATTCAATGTTTTCTTATTCAGTGCTGGCGCTGTAACCTACTATTCAGGTAACTGGAGCCCCAGGCTAACCAAGAGCCCCTAAACGAACTGGAGCCCTAGGCTTACCTAGACATGCCTCATGAAGGCCGCCTACATCTCCTTCGAAATTGCCAAGCGCCGGGCAGCGAAGACCTGAGCCGCTTCAGCCGCAGGCCAGCAGGGAATTGGGAGGCCGTCGATGGGAGTAATATAGGAGCCTTAAAAATGTGAATAGGGGTTGCTTTAAAGGGGGCCTATCCGGGCTACTGTAAGGGATCTGTAAGGGCACAATAATAACATAGGGGCTTCAATGATTAGAAGAAATACTATACTTATAACAGGAACCCCCAAAATAGTATAGGTAATCATTCAGACCTCTATATTAGTAAAATGCCTGAGATTCAGGTTGTACGTACTAAAGGGGGCTAAATAATAATAACCAATACTCTTTTGGGGGCTCCTTGTTTTATTTGTAGTTTAAACGGCCCCAACACTCTGTTCTAATTATTAAGGCCCTTACATCAAACGAACCGGATTCTTGCTCCGAGTGCACGCCTTCGGCTGCGGCTTCCGCAAGTCCGTTCAGTAACCTCAGTCGCCCGCAAGTCCTGCTCACTTCCCAGACCTTCAAAATCCCTTAACTAAGGAATATACCTTAAGTCCTTAAGTCATAGTAGGATCCTTAGTATGATTTTAAGGTATTCCTTAACTACGGGATTTTGGAAGGTCTAGCCAGTTTCTACATGCGCTGGCGCAATGGTGCCGACGTGCCTGTGGAGGCAAGGGGCTTGCAGGACAGTTCAATTTGGGCACTCGAATATAGAAGCCTGAAGCATTAACAAGCGCTATTCCTTGGAGTCCTTCTTCAGTCAGATTACGTAGAACTAATTCAACAGCTCTGTTCTGATTGTTGCGGTCTCTGTACTATGGCTTTTGTATTCCAAGGGCTTCCGAGGTTGAGACTCAATCCCTAAACCCCAAATCCCAAACCCTAAACACTAAACCCCAAACGAACCCGAGACGCTAAAGTGCGAGCTGTCCTAGCTGGCCTTTCTGTTACGGAAGATCTCGACCCCTTCTTTTGACAATGAGGGCTTCGACATTTCGGCATATTCAATCTAAACCCGCAAAACCCGAACCCCTTTCCCCTAAGCCCGAAACCCGAAGTGTGAGGTCACCAGGTGCTCACGGATCTTTTGTTTTTTGAGATTCGTTCCACAGCCAAGGACCCATAAGGCTTGGGTTTAGGGTTTAGGTAAACCAGGATGAACATGACAAGAGCAGCCATGGCTGGCGGCTAAGGCCTAGTTACAGGCAACATTACATGCTATTCAGTACGATACTGATAAATCAGAGTTCGCAAAGTAACATTAACAGCTCTATATGGCGTAAAATGGTACGAACCATATACAGCTACGCACAACACCCGCTGAAGTGGATCGAGCATGGGATCCTACCGTCTTGAGAGCCTTCTTTTGGTTTGGGGCTCAGGGCTTCGCCGCGTGTTTAGGCTTTGTGATCCCTGCGTTTTCAGGGAGGGGGCTTCAGTTGACAGGCACATCGACCCTGAAAAGCACAGGTCGAGGGTCAGGTGAGTTCCATGGGTATGCATACTTAGGCATCATGAACTACAGCACCATGATGGGACGCATCGCTATGAATAGAGCTGTGGTACTAGCATGCATGTATTCGAATGTATGTGGCATTTGCATATTTACCTGAAAGTAGGAATCGTCGAGCTATATACGAAAACCGCAGCGACGAGACTCCGCCACGAAGACACTCTGAGCTGGCTGAAAACTCCAAGCCCATGAGGGGGGTAGGGGACTATACTTCCTTAAATAGGCCTTACTAGGTATGGGCATTATCAGGCCCCCTACCCACCCCCCCTCCCCCTACCCCCCTTAAGGGTCCCGATGACCAAACCCTCATACCTCGCAAGCCCCTTGAAGGCTTCTATGCAGAGCTCCTCGATCCCCGACCTCTACCCGGCTCAAGAGGCGTCTGGCTTGGCGGTTTAGGGCTTATAGGGTTTAGGGTTTAGGGTTTGCGGTAAAGGTTTGATGCCTTGGCTTCAGTTCATAGTGTTTGCAACTGGTTCAGAGTAATTATCTACATTCATTTGGGGGCTCCTTGTTATAATTATAGTATAATGGGGCCCATAACCCTATTCTGATTATCGGGGGTCCCGTTGGAGGTTGGACAGTCTACGGTTTCGTTTGGGCGACAACCTACCACCTCTTCAGGGTGGGGATGCTGCAACACACCTCTGCATGTAATATAGGCGCCTAAACAATTGCCTATATTGTTTGGGAGGGTTCCTCATTATAAGTATAGTATAATGATAATGGGCCCCAAAACCCTGTTCTAATTATTGAGGCCCCTATATTATACCTGAGCTCCGTCGGCCAGCCTCTCCCTGAAAGCTCTACCCAACACTCGAAGCCCAATTGTGAGACTTCATGTTATCTTCGGTATTCTTTAGGGTTTAGGGGTTAGGGTTTCTCCCAACCGAAGTCATGTGAAGATTTATGTCCTGCGCAGGAGGACGAGGCGATGAAGTTGACGGCCGCACGCGCAGAAGTAGACTCCGGGCCCATGCTGCCATAGCATGCTGGTTGGCTGTAAACACAACTTTTCAATTTTGTGGGTTCTTTTCTGGTAGTCGATTCCGCGAGTTTCAGCTTTTATTTCCCTGGGTTTTGGGCCAGTGAGCATGTCGTCTGGACAAAGGCTCATGTCCAGTCAAGAGTAGCTGGGGGTTTTCAACCTCATCCTGTTCAATTGCTTACCACATAGATAATTTCCAAGAAAAATACAAATAGAAAAGGTATCAATAGAATATGTTTTTT